ATACCAGGCATGCCAACAATCAGGACAGTGACCTCAATTTGGGTGGGCCGGACCGGGATTAGCAGCGCAGTGCGTCTGGAGAAGGGTTCCCAATGCTTCCTCTGCCTCATCATACTCGCGAGCGCTGTCGACTTCCCTCTCAATCGCACGCATCTGAGCTCGTTCGATATGGGCCCATATTGATCTTGAGTTCATGAGTGACCTGTTTGTGGCGCACCTCTTCTTCGACCAGGACCTGAGCATGGCGGAGTTGCTCGGCTTGCCAATTGGTGTCCCAAATCTTGCGCAAGCGGAGACGATCCATGTCGGCCACGACCTCACGGGCTTTGAATTCGGCGCGGACCCCTTGAACCAAGAAGAAAGCCAGCTTGGCCACCGCTTTGGTGGGGCGACCAGGTTGTCGGTTGTCAAGCAACGGCGCGATGTCAATGTGTTGAACCTGTTCAGTGGAATGTTTCAGCAAGAGGTACACCTGTAAACACCAACTGTCAGCTCTGTCCGGACAGGATGGGGTCTGGCGAAGTTCTGACCTTGGGAGGCATGCCTCTTCGGCGAATACGATTGGAAATCTCATCCCCAAGATCATCCATAGAAGCGAATAAGTTATTGGTAACCATCTGGAGACATCCAGTCAGTCAACCTTGCGAAACAAGAGGCGTAACATTACCAATGACGAATGAGAACTGACCATCCAATCCTCAACAAGCCGTTGATATTTTGGGCCCAGCGCTTTGAATTTGCAAGCCCAAAGGCTCGGATAGACTTCGAGTATTTCGTCAAAGGCTTGGTCGTATATGTACCTGACCTCCGCCATGGGCTTAGTGGCCAAAAGTTGGTGATGCTTCTCGTACCATCGGCCAAATAAACGGATCAAGTCGACACATCTTTGCTCAGACCAAGTAAAATTCACGGCATCCCGGCCGTTTGGCGGCAGTCGTCGAAGTGGGGTATCATCCGTAAGATCCTCATCGATAGCGCTGTCCCCGCCGACTCCGGTCTCGGTCTCCTCAGGGCCTGCAATGGCGGGGTCCTAAAATGATCGGCCAAGGCCGATGGGTCAGATATCTGTGGGGGTAGAGAAGAGGAATGCATCACGTTTTCTTGCTTACATTTCCCTCAATTATCAATGTCCCCACTGCCACCGACACGGGCGCCGCACCTGCCGTGGTCGTGTTAGTTTCAATCCCATCCATCTCGCTGGCCGCTGTCGAAGTGGACATTGCAATATCCATAGGCTAGACAAAGTGTACAGGATCAGTGTACAGAAAAGTCGGTGAAAGTGGGTGTGGTGACGAGTAAAGTGAGGAAGCCGGCAGACAGGGGGGAAGCCTCTGGCTCTAAGACAAGTATTCTGCGTACCAAAAACGGGGAGCACTCTTCCTTTGCCGGGTGGGGGCATACTATCGGTGGGCCGACCCAAAGATGACCGAGCCGTCATCATGACAAGGTGCTTGACCACTCTGAGAATCGTCATCAGGTTAAATCCTCGGCCTTTTCAGTCTATAATGAGATTTAACCTTCCGGCGTCAATCTGTCGGCTGGTCTTGGCGATCGTCAGCTGTGTCGGAGAGTAAATCCGATCCGACGGCGCTGCCGGGCCGGGTTTGGAGGGAGGCGTCAAGCGGTCGCTTGGGATATTCCAAAACAGAGCCGCCCGTGTAAGCACCCGGAAGTCGCGCACCTATGTTTTGACACTGCCGATCACTTGGCCCAGAAAGAATTGTTTACAGAGCTGTCACCATAATTAACCAGCAATTGCCATTTTCGACAATTCAATGTTAAAGCAACTCCAGCGCAAGTGCTAAAGTTTGATAGTCATATGCCTCTTTTTAGAGATCAAATTCACCATATGGCACTTGAACTTGAATCAGGCACCACCACGGGCTGCTAAGCATGAGCTGAAAACTCATGAAAGGTCAATCTCAAAGAGGATGTGGGTTGTTCACTTAACTTAACAAAGTCTCCCCCTGGTGGGAAGCTTGCTGGTGTAAAGCACTGGGTGGCAAAGTTACCCCATCCACAGGCACCGGGAGGGACTTATCCATAAAGTTGGGGAAGCTGGGGTGCTTGGCTGAGAGGATCTTTGGAAAACCTTGTTCAAGCTACAACAACTGTAGTTCTACATATGTGGTCTGGGCAGCGATGGGTAGTTACGATACGCTACGATAACAGCGTTATCTGAGTAGCATACCTTTTGTAGTTACTCCCCAGCCCAGATAACGTTACCTGTAAAGGAGTGATTCACTCAATCTCTGCATCGTAACTTCCAGGTTTTTTTTCATCCTAAATAAATAGTATTGTAACTTATGTAACAGTCAGTAGCATGCCAGTAACGCAATATCCACAATGTACTGAGGGATCAAGCAGCCACATAGACCGCTGTACTGGGTGTTTTTTCCCTTGATACAGGGGCTTAGATTTCCCTTGTGCCACTAACCCCTGAACCAATCAATCAAAATTAATTGGGAAACTCACTCATTGGTCAAAAGTCTAGCATTACAAGTTAATTACAACATAGACAAGATACAGACCAAAGGGACTAGGACTTGAAGACAGCAGCAGATAGAGCATTATGTTCATGATGAGCTTGTTTGATTGATCGAGGAGGTTGGATACAACTTTGTCTGAAAACATGTTTCTGGATACATGGCTCCCTCATGAATGAGTTAATAAATTCTGCCAAAAAAAAAGAACACAGACCCATTCTGTTTGGTCTACGTCTAGTGTCTGTGTGAGTTTATTTCTGCGGGAATCAGTCCATCTTTGATGACACTCCAAGCACACAGGTGTTGAAACTGCTTTGAAAGTTTATATGCCTTGTGTGGGGGCGGGTGTCAGCTTGCTACTATGGCAGAGACAACCTGTCATAGCAAATAAAATTAATAAATTACATAAAAAATCTAAGTATAAATTAAAAATATTACATAAGTAAAAGAAACAATATTACTTATGTAAATAAGATAAAAAAATACATAAAAATAAATGAATAACTTAAAAAGTATAAACAAAACCTTGAATGTTATTGCAGATTCTGAATCAGCATGCAATTTAACCTAGGGTACCTCAGCCAAAGGTACCCCAAATTCTAACTCCTTCATCCTGTAATACAAGCATGAATAATTAACAGGTACCTCCAGATCACGGGTACTGTGACACTCCTGCATAATGCATAATGCATATACTCCAAATCCAGTCTCAGAATTGGAGTATTGTGCACGGTTTAGAAGATAGAGCAGTGTGGAGTCCTGTCTCCAAGCCCATGTGCCACGTAGTCATGCTGCGCACCAGTATCCAAGGATTGGGCCACAAAAGCCCCAGAATCCCCATTACACGTGGCAACAAAGCCCCCACACGTGTAATAAGAATGTGAACAAGCTAGAATATCCATGAAAATACTACAGTAACCATATTCCAGTGGGTAACACGTGTAGCAAGCCTCAGAAGACACCTCTGGAATATTCTGTGGCTCATTTCCAAGGAACCTGCTCCACGTAACAGAGTAGCCCCTATCCACAGGTTTCCATGGGACATTCTTGGCTGTAATGATTTCGTGCATGACCCCTTGGAGCTTCTGGAATATTATCCCCAAGGTTCCAGCCCTGGTTACATCACCATGTGGGCCAAAATGGGCCCAAAAGCGCCCCCAAGTCCTACTAAGCTCCCCTGAGCAACCCCTGAGGCCTTCCACAGGTATTTAAAGGGCCTTCTGACCGCCCAAATAATGATCCCCCAGCTTTACAATACCTTATAGAAATTTACTTACCATTTACAAGTCTCCTACACTTGTAATTAGCCTAGTTACTACTATAATTGCTGTTATTAAAGCCTCAAGAACCCTCAAGAAACTCCCCAGTTATCACCCAGTACCCAAAATCAACCTTTCTGAGCGCTCCCAACTGTCCAGTTTCTACTAAGAAAATCCTCAAGACCCTTTTGGATTATTACTAGTGAGTAATAACCCTTTCTTGAAGATTTTCCCCTAAAAATTATCTCCTGGGATTTAAACCACACCTGCTACAGGCCCCAGTTTATCAGGTACCTAAATCCTCTGCTTTTTGCACGATACCTTAGAGGGATTAAACCACCCCTGATTTATCAGGCCCCTCTGGTTTAATTTATATTAATTTTATTAATATAAATTGGCCACTTTTTGGATTTAATCCATAAATTCCACGTAATTCTTTTGAATTACCTGTACCAGTTCCATCCCAGAGTTTTTGCCATAAAAACTCTTACTTTTTGCACCTTGTGTAGCTAGAGGACACGTGTCTTGGCATCACATAGGCTGACAGCGGGGCAGCCTAAACCCCCATCTTGCCTCTCAAATTTTGTTTGCATTATACATTAGCACACATTTACGTAGTAGCGTAAATAAAAATAAAATAATCTCCCTGCCCCCATTGTTATCGTAACGACCAAAAAAAACCTAACTTCTTCACTGCATTAGCGTAGCAAACAATCGTTACCATTAACGGTAGCGATATCGATTCCAATGGCGTTACGCTACCGTTACGCTACCGTTACGGGTAGCGTAACTACCCATCGCTGGTCTGGGGAGCGATAATATGCACTTGCATCTTAGCTTTCTTTCCTTCAACTCAGGTTTTGAATACATTGCTTCAAACAAAAGAGCAAATTCAAGGAGGAAAAGGAGAAAAAAAACTTCACACACTTGAGCTTGCAGGCCCAAGTGCAGCCTGACTCCTGAGATAAGTGTGGTCTTGACTTTTTTTGACTAGTTTCAAAAATTAACCATAAAAAATCTAGACAAATATATGATGAGGTCACAAGCTATACAAATCAACAGGTTGCCAATCTTCTTAATCTTTTGGTATCTCAATCTGGGAGTCACAGTATTGAAAGTACAGGCCAGAAAATCCAAAGAGTGAATTTCCAACCTGTTTTGGTGGGTGGTCTCAGGCAAGCAACCCAACTTTAGACATGGTTCCCTCCCTGCTCCAGAGGAGTGGTGTTGCCACCAGCCAAACTTAAGCACCACCCAAAACCAACCACCCACACAGGTAGGGTGTTGAGTTAGAGAATTTGCGGGTTTTGTTGTGAAGAATCACAGAAACTGCAAAACTATTTAGAGATGTCAGCAGGTACCCGGTACCCATTTGCAGGTACCTGTTTTCCAAAGCGGGTACCTGGAAACAGGTGCGGGTGTCAAAATTTGGGGTAAAAAAAGGCAGGTACCTGGGTACCCCCCTTACACCCGCCCTGGGAATGCTTCCCCTGAAAAATTTAAATTATCATTGGCGGTCCAACACTCCCGTTTTTGGGTGTGTTGAGCTGCACAAAGGTTTAAGCAACCCATTTAGGACACTGGCTGGTGTCTTACATGGGTTGCTGAACTAATCTGGTTGCTTTGTTGAGGCCAGATGGAGCCCTCTGGCGTTTGAGACAGTGTACAATCTCAACAACTGGAGGAATCCCTCCAGTTGTCAAGACAGATTTCTGGGTATATTTGCCTGCAAAAGATGCTCCACACCCACAGGTACCTGGGTACCCGCCCTGGCAGACCGGGCAGGTGCAGGTGCGGGTGCGGATGTCCAAAATATTGGATTTTTGAGGCAGGTACCCGGGTATGAAGCAACATCTCTATACCGTTGCCTATGTTCAATTTTACCAAGGGGGGTTGTAAACAATACAGCCCCTTTCACAGTGCTTAACCTCATTGAATTTCTGCTAAGGTCATTTTATAGCACAGTTTTGGTGCAATGTCTTGCTACATTTGAAGTCAGAATCTACAGAAGCCAAGCTACCTCCCACCCTAATTCTGTGTCTTCTGGCCCTTCCAAATTATGTAAAATGATGAATGTAGCAAAAAACCTGGAAGCCTGATAGGTTTTTTTTCCCTTGGGATCAGTAAATGGATATGCTAAATAACTGTGTTAAGGAGCCCAGGGTTGATTTTGGCAATCCACAACATCTTCAACCAGTGATTGAAAGCCAAAGAGGCCATCCCATGATGATCTTAATGCATCAAAAATTAGACAAGAAGCAAGGTTTTTTGATTATGGAAGCAAAGTTTTAGAATGTTTCATGGTTACAGAGTGACCACAAAGTTCATACAAAATATCATATTTGATGATTCTTCTCAGGCCAAAATCACCAATAAAGTCCCTCCATGCACGCCTCCACCAGAAGGACCTCCATCATTGAGACTTAGTTAAGTTTGGACGTTGGTCACCAAGCCAAGTGCATGGTTGGGGAAACCTTGGGCCCTAGGTTGAGTAAACGCTTGGGTGGCCTGGTGGTGGATGAACTTCCCAAGGGGTGAATCGGGCCCGAGGGCTCCATCCGGGACCGGGGCTCTGCTCAGCTCGCCAGGCCCGCAGCCCCGTTCTGGCCGAATAATGTTGTGTGGCTGACGTGATCATGACGAGGTGGTGGGCTATGACGTAGTTGACGATGCTGTGGTAGGACAGCAAGAACTTCTTCATCATCTTCTCCTTCCTCCCACTTCTTAATTCTGAATTCTTAGCAAACAGAACCCAAATATCTTCGACTTGAACGTCTTATAAACATATACATGTGACCAAAACTGACAGCAGACTATACTAATCCTCACTGATCCGCTTGCCCCTTCAACATGGCCACGCAATCGGAGACCACACAGACTACTAATGAGCTCTTGCAACACTTGATTGCCGAAGTGAGATGCTTGAAAGAATCTCAGACTTCACTGGAGTTGAAAGTAAGTCATAACGTATACAAGCTCGAACATTTCATCCAAATTTGTTCCTATAATGATCTAGGGAATTGATGGCTCGTCTGCTCTTTTTGTAGTTGGAGACATTAGGTTTATCCTTTCCTTCGCAGTACCCATCTCAATCGAACATTAAACCTCATGCGACGGGCGGATCTTCTAGCTCTCCTACTGAGCCACAGCGTCCTTCTTCCGACTCAAGACCCCTTCCTATGCCTCTGAGTCTGAGTCCATCAACTTCGAGATCCTCATCCAAATTGCCTAAGCGGGGCAGTGCATTTGAGGATGAGGGAAGTTTGAGAGAGAAGGCAAAATTCGTCGAGTGGATGAAGACTGAGGGCGCCTTGCTTGGTGTCGACAATCAATCATCCGACATGGTCACCAAACCAGTCACCATCTACCCTCAGCGATTAATCTTGACAAGTCGGTAAATTCCTTAGATACCAATCAGACAGACTGGGTGCTATGGAAATCTGATATTGAAATCTATCTCTTTTTTCTTTTATCTTTTCACGTCAGCCTACCCTGGACAAACTGGTATAATTCCCATTCCCCTGGAATGGGGGGCCGACGACCCTCAGAAGAGAGGACCGGTGGTTGCGAGTAGACATCCTCAAAGCTTGAAACTTCGGTGAGTCATCAAGATCTAAGTCCATCTTGGGTACCAGCAATCACAATATCGGGTCCAGTTAAGTCTGATTTTTCGCTCGACTTACTGGTTTCGTGACTTGGTCATCAGAAATGCGATCGGAGCTTACTCTGGGTATGTTTGAACTAGCAAACTAAGCCAACACAAACGTGCAGCGGATTGACCTCATTCTATACTAGGCCGTATTGTATATACAAAGCGCTCGCTACCGCCATCGGTGCAATAGACCCTAATCATCGACCTGATTTTACAAACGTCAGTAAACTGAATTAAATCAAGCTGGCACGAAACATCAAGAAACCAAAATACTTTTATCTTGATTGAATCAGACCCAGCCCCCATTCGCCGTCGCCCCTAATCCTTCGTGGTTCGATCCTTCAAGGATTGTCAGTATGGATCCGTGGGGGCACCTTGCTCCCCAGTTATTCAAGTCTTACTTCGATTCTGGAGTAGATATCAGGCCCACTGGTCAGTTCCATATTCAGTTAAGAAATAATCGTCTGGATCATTATAGTTGACTTGAATATCGAGTGTAGTTGCATGTACTAAGGCGCACTTGAAGCTCGCCGAACTTGATGAATCGGTAGCTCAAGGAAACCTTTTAATCGATGGGAAGATCGTAGTGAAATCACCGGGTACTTGGGCTGAAAAGGCCGCACAGACTTCCGTAGAATCTACCGGTGGTAAATGGGAGGCACTCTCGGAGGAAGAACGTCACCTACTGACCTCTAAACGAGCTGGAGTTGAAGTTCAGGTTACCAAGGCTGCGGTTGAACCAGTGGTCAGCGCTTTTTTCCATTATACAGATATAATTTGGGATACTTAAGGTACATTTTTCTCATTACTCACATGCTTTCAGTGGAATTTACCCGGCGTGGCCGCCCGTTTTGGTAAGTATCGTGGTCTGGGCATATTTGAAATCCTACCCATGGGTGCTTGAAGGAGGGGCGATTCTATGGATGATAAATATTTGTTTTAAATGCAGGCATATCCGAGGCCATCCTTCGCCGTGCTCTGTTCGAAGATACGGGAGGGATGTACCCTGAACTTTTGACGCGTAGTGATTTAAAAACCTACCTACCTCCTATTGGTGGCCTGACCGTTTACATATTCGGTGACCCGAACTTCGTCAGCGATCCGAGCAAGGAGCTTACTTTGCGTGTCCACGATGAATGTAATGGGAGTGACGTATTTGGAAGCAGTGTGAGCTCCCCACTGAATTATTTTCACAATCGGAAGTATTCCCTTGGCTCCGGTGATAAGCAAGTGTTTAAAAGGGCTCTCTTCATTGAAAGAATAGCTCGTACAACTATATGAGCCAAGGGCTACGATTGCCTTCGGATGAATCTTTGACTTGAACAGTATTATTATTAATCCCTCATGATTTCATGTAGATTTGTACCTGTCGTCCGTATTTACTTTATGGGATTGAAGAAGCTATCAAATGCGCCCAGCGGGGCGGGAGTGGGGTGATAGTATACTTCCGCAAAGAAGGAAGAGCACTCGGGGAAGGTAATTAGCTCGATCAGTAACAATCTAGAGATTTGCACTAAGTCCATCAGCTCTGATCCACTGTGGATTGTTTAGTAACCAAGTATCTGGTGTACAACGCCCGAAAGCGAGGAGGAGATTCCGCCGCATTTTACTTCCAAAGGACTGAGTCAGTTGCAGGAGTTAAGGACATGCGTTTTCAAGGTGACATTGTTTTGTTCAAGGAGTAGATGGAGTGTAAAAACGGATGACTGACTGTATGTGTTTTCGTTTCAGCTCTCATGCCGGATGTCTTACATTGGCTAGGTATCAAGAAGATCGATGTGATGTGCTCTATGAGTGACATGAAGCATGACGTCAGTCGACCAACACTCCACATTCCATTCTTCTATGCATTAGACGAGAGCATCGAAACGCTGATGGTAATTTCGGTCGGGCTGGCATTTAGGCCATCGTCCAATCTGGCATTCCGATTTTATTGAGAAAAGACATTCCTGATCACTTAATTCCATCCGATTCTCGAGTAGAGATCGACGCCAAAATCGCCGCTGGTACGTATATTTTCCTTGTCGTATGAGACCCCAAAGCCCGAGTCAAAAATGAAAACTGGATCGATAGCGATCGACCCACAAAGATGCTCTGCATGCGCTATATGTCCAGTTTGGTTTGAAATCTTCATGGGGGGAGGCTTACTTGTTCTTGAAAATGTTTGCAGGATATTTCTCCGCTTCTAAAGTAGTGACTGAAGAGGATTTGAAAAACACAGTGGGTCAAAGCTGTGAGTACCACTCGTCACTGACGCTCAACTTATCTCTCAATATCAACCGGTGATCAGAAGGCTGATTTCGAGAAACCTTACAGGGGAAGATGTTGATCACTAAACTTGGAAGCGGAACACAAAAGAAAAAGCAAGCACGATAACTGATTATTTTTTGTTCGTTGTATCCCTTCTTCTTAAATGGTTTCTTTTCCGCTTTTTTTTTACATGATGTATATTTACAACACCCAACATGGGTCGAAAATTGTTCCCATGTATCTTAATTTAATCTTTGGTGCCATGGCTATCTATATGCAAATGTATCCTACCTTTTTACAAACCATCATCACAGGCTACTGTTTGGTTTTTTGGATGTAATTAAATCATCAATGCTCAGTGAACCCACAGTCAACTCTGTATTAACCCACAACCATTGGTGGACCAATGTTACTATGAATTCTAAGGATCATGGGTGAAGAGTAAAATCGCTATTGAGCCATGAAATCATGGGTAAATGGACTCCCTATTTACCCATGTTTTTCATGAATCAGAAGGCTTCGGTCTCCTATTGGTAATCTAGTATCTTCGCTCCTCAAAACTCCACGACCACTTAACGCCCTCACTCTCACGACTACGACTAGTTACGAATACTTAAGTTAACCGCTTGTTAACTTGAGCTCGTTAACCCTTCTTCCCACCTCCGAGTCTCCTTGAGTTGGTTGCACCGGCTCTTAAGCTGCTGGAAGATGCGCGTAAGCCTCATTGAGTATTCTCTGAGCCGTGTCCTAAGTTTCAACTAATAAATCCTCGGTCTTTCTCCTACAACACAGCCTTTCTACTTCTTCTAGTCATGGCTATAGGTACTACCTTCACCACTAGTAAGTACCATAAGCCTGACAAATACAATGAAGGGAAAATAAAACTGAGCAGGAATTGATCTTCATGCCTTGGTGCCTTGATCTTGAACTTTGATAAAACTTGAAATTTGAACTTCTGATCTGGACTGGGCCTGCACCATAAAATCCACCACAACATGCAAAGGGAGCCCATCTCCAATGGACAACTAATCTAGCCAAAATCACATGTAACAACATCACAATAACCATCTTATTTTAGTACTCTCAAAGAGCATTGAAGTTGGTTGAAACATGTTTTCAAGCCTCAGTTTGGAGTTGGGAAATTGCCCCCTTCAGCCGGTGTTTCTTTTTAAAACTCTTCTGACCCCTCCCGGTCTCTGCCTATTGTCCTACCGCTCTTGGACCTTTATATGTGTGTCTTGTTTTCTTGCTTCAGTTATTTTTTCATCTAATTCTCCCTTCAGGGTTGTCTTGAATATGACTTCTCTTTTACGTAATTTACACTAAGGTCTATGGACAGCTTTTCCGTCCCGTGTTTTATGTCTAAATTCAAATTTAATACCAGTTTTCAGGCACACTGTCACTAAACAGGTTGCAAACAGTGATGTTATTATTGAGGTCAAGACATGGAGTGGCAGCAACATTTCATTTCATTTTTTCTTTTTCAAAGTACATTGGCACTAATACTATACGGTGCCTGCCGACAGATCGCGTCCAGTCCATTCAATTTCAATCATGCGTCACGTATGCTTACCAAAGAACAGATTTCGTAGATTTCATTTGTTCTTACTTGCCAGCGGAACTTCACTCCAAAGCATCCCAAGATATACGTCAATCAGATGGAGGATTCAGCAGAAAATACCGGAAGAAGAAATGGATAAAATCCCTAGCCGAATTAGCCTGAAAGTCTTGACTCACTGCAATTGCGCATGTTCCTCCCGACTTCTGACACGCATCCGCTTGTTCCGATGTAATTCTGACTATGAACTTCTGGACTGCAGTTATCCCGATAATACTTTAGAACAATCAATCAAAAAATACATTCGAAGGTCATAATGGGCTTTTTCATACTTCTTCTTTGCGCTGGCACTCCAAAGTTTCGACCCAAGTCCTTTAATACCAGATCGCTTCCCTCCGATTGGACTGGTCTTTGAGCGGTCATATCCATGAGAAGTAGCTTAGCTATTCCGCCCTAGTTGCAATCAGGGTGAGCCACCACAGAAGATGAATTTCGCATCACTTCCCGCGCAAAGAGACAACAAAAAAACTCTCACATGTGGAACCTGGACCTGTATTGTCACAGGAATATCTTGACCAGAGATAAATTTTGCAATGTTTTGCAGATTCTGAGAGTGGATAGAGACAATTTTGAGCTTGATTTGCCATACTCTCGTAGGTATATCTGCACCTACTGACCTGATCTTCGACAAATAAGCCTTGGCATCTCCTCTGTAGACATTGAGGAGACGTTACTTTCCAAGCCTCCTGGTTAATAAACTAGAATTGGTTTGAGGGGACAAGTGGCCCAAATCCCTGTTCAGTTTAATTCCTTTGTTCTCATTCATTAACATAGCGATTCTTGGCGGAGGGTTGGTGTGAAGCACTCACAGGACTACGTTTGATGATACCGCTTGCCCGAACTCCACATGTGCTTGTGAATGTCTTGCCAACCTACAGCTCAAATCAATATCATTCAGCTCTCTTTTCGCCTGATGATAATCGACATTACTTGGATACTTACCACCATAGGTTTTGGGTCTATGATTCCTGCATGAGCATCCACCATCCGAAACAAGAAGATGCAAACCATGAATAAAGGATAGAAGTACCCCGTTCCTGAAAGACGCGAGCCCATCTTTATTTTGAAAACGATTTTGATCAACGCAGATCTTAATATTCTTTTGCAAGGGTTGGATCTTTTGCACACCTTGAGAGAATGTGGCCGATGTTTAGATAATCTAGCACATATTGGAAGAAAAAGCAGACGCTTAAATACAAAATAGAGGGAGAAGTAAAGATCCTGAAGGGGTTTTTTCATTAAAATTAAAATTTCATTTTAAGCTTGTATCGGGGTTGCGGAAGATACTAGACTGCCCTTATTATCTTTCTTTCGATACCGGTAATTGTGGGAACTTCTCCGCTAGAAAAAAGAGATGGTGCCATGCTAACGAAAACTCAAGTATGAAATAATGATCGAGAAATAAGAAAGTCTTCTTAAATTCATTACAGAACGCTCAAGCATCCTATTGAGTGGCATGCCTTCCGAGTTCGAAACCTTCAGACAATGGTAGTCAAATTTTGATGTTGATTCTAAAAAGACAGCTCGATTTGACGTCGATT